TTATTCCGTAAAACTTCATTTATTATCCGATTTGCTTCAAATTCAAACTACATATTACAAACATCAAGGTAAATACACCTGCAAAATTGGGCCCGATAGGTGGCTTCAGAGCCGAGTTATTCCGATTTCCGTATAAGCCAATGAATGCCTGCTTTGGTTTCACCATCTACTATCTATATATTAATACGCTAACAAAATCCCATACAAATCTATTCCTCCCTACTGCTCCTGTGTTTCTCAACCAATTTAAATTATTCTTCTTTCGTTCGAAAGGTATTTCAAAGGGGAGGTGCGCATTTTGTTTGTTTTTTCAGTAGGTGGAGTAGGAGTGGAGTTATTCCGAAAAACTTCATTTATGGTCCGATTTGCTTCAAATTCAAAATACGTATTACTAACATCAATAGAAATACACCTGCGAAAAATGGGCCCGATATGTGGCCCAGAGCCGAGTTTTTCCAATTTCCGTATAAGCCTATGAATGCCTGCTTTGGTTTCACCATCTACTATCTATATATTAATACGCTTACGAAATCCCATACAAATCTATTCCTCCCTACTGCTCCTATGTTTCTCAACCAATTTGAATGGTTCTTATTTTATTCGAAAGGTATTTCAAAGGGGAGGTACGTATTTTGTTTGTTTTTTTTCAGTACGTGGAGAACTTCATTGATGGTCCGATTTGCATAAATACATATTACTAACATCAAGATAAATACACCTGCAAAAAATGGACCCGATAGGTGGCTTCGGAGCCGAGTTATTCCAATTTCCGTATAAGCTTTGGGTTCACCATCTACTATCTATATACAGTACTAGCGGACCCTCACCCGCTTCGCTGGGTGAAAGAAAAATAGAAATGAAAGGTGTTCTTGGTTTTTTTCTTTTTTTTGTCATTTAATTCATGTTCGGCCACTATTTTGTGACTTATTCTAATAACAATGATTACAATGATTGTAAACTAAAAACTTATTCTAAAGCCTTCTGATACACAACATTTTTGGTTTTATTTTCATGTGGTGTATAAATATATAGTAACGATGGTTTCCCTACTCGCGAACATCCTACATACAGTTGTCCATGTCCAAAGCATGGATAAGTTAGGTCAATTCCACACAATTGAAGTGTTTGACCTTGAGACTTATTGATAGTAATAGCAAAAGCAAGGCGAATGGGAAATTGAATTCGTTTACAATCAAAAGGCAAATCTGTTGGAATCATTGGAATACGCGGAATCAAAACATCTTCACCTTTAAATTTGCCTTGCAAAATTGTTGCTTCAATTACATTATTCATTGTCCGTTTCACTGCTAATCTTGTCCCATTGCATAGTTTCGGCTGATTGATATTTCGTAACATAATGATCACTGCGCCGACTTTCAATTGCAAACGATGTGGTGGCAAGCCAGGCAAATCAAGTGAGTTCAAAAATTCAATGGGATAATTCACTACATCGTCGGGATTAGTGATTGAATCAATTGATTTATAGGTCACAACTTCACCTGGAATTTGAGTCAAAATACTGGCATTGATTTCATTGACATCGACATTTTTGGCAGCTAATATAGCTCTCTCGCTTAGCCAATCTTGATTTCGATAGTTTTGTGCAATATTTGGGAATACATTTTGCACTAATTGTACTCTTGAT